AACCAGTAATAGTATTTATTTATAAATAAAACAATCAATCAAAGAAATTTTATATATCAAACCATGTGCCAGCGGTATAACTCACCAAGACGCAACCTGCACAAATATATACAGTCAAGGGAAGTCACCCAAGTCCAATAAAATATGGTTCACAAGAAGCTTCCTACCATTCGATTGGAAACTTGTTATGCTTTGCATTTGTATGCCATATACATGAAACTTCTTCTGAAAAGGAAGCATGCTTAGATATTATCGGGTAAGATGGATTCTCAGGTTATCAGTATCCGTCAAAGAACCTAATCCACAGGCAAATACCCTAGTTTTTGAAGTATGTTCACAGACAATCGGAAGAATTTCAAAAAAGAAGTGCTTGTTTGGTTTCATTATAAGCTGTTAAAATTAATATGTAAAAATGAGACGTGGAAAAGTGAGTAGTAGTTGTGGTTATTACAAAATGTGTTGTTAAAATTAAAGTTTGACTTTGACATTTAAATTACAAGGAACTCATAATGAAACAAAAACAAGCACTAGGTCTTCAGACTGTTCATAAATAATGAAATTTGTCGTGGATCAAATGTCATTTTGATTTTTTTGTATAGAAAGATCTAGTACCCACTTTGGTTCTATTTTCTATTCTTTCTGGATTCGAAACACTATCATTTTATCTATGCACTAAACAAGCTCAAAATTATTGACAAGTCTGGCAGTCAAAGAGAAATCCCCAAGAACCTTTTAGACTTTATATTAATCATAATTCATATCTAGATTCAGATATCGGTTGACCAAAGACAATGGAAGGAGCAAAGTAAGAAATACTACCTACATCAAAACACGTACATGAATTTTCCTCATAATGAAGTAAATCCCAAAAACAAAGAGCGAATTTGGCAACCAGTTAGTTCAAATCTTAAGTGCCTTAGTCATTGTTTATTCCCCTTTTGGGAGGAGACAGTCATGAAATGTCTTCCTCGTAAATGTTAATAATTTGTTCACACTAATCATTATTCACGTCTAATAAGAACTTGTTGCACGCAGCTTAAAACTGCAAAATGTTCATCACAAGGAAAGAAAAAATAGGAAACAAATTAGTAACTGTAACCGAGTGAGTACCTTCGTTACTCGTAGCCACATTATACAATCATAAACATGTACTCAGATCAGAAAACGTGATTTTATAAGCAACAAGCTTGTACCTTTTTTAACTATTCAATGATATTCCAAAACAAAAACATTCAATGTGAAGCATTCTAGGGAGTTCAAATCACCAATAATCCAATCTCATAACCAAAGAGCTTAGCCACCTCAATCGGTACATATAACACCATACATATGCGAGCAACCTCACATTAAGAGGGAAACAGAGAAACAAAGAATCAGAACAGATATTTTAATTACCTAAATCAGCATCAATTTATATTTTATTCTAAACAACAACAGAGACAATACTACATGATTTTGGAATAACCTACTTTTTTTTTTCTCCAAAAAGCAAAATAAAGAAAAGGGATTTCGAGACAGACCAGAAACGAATCCACAATCATCGAGCTTGATGAACCTCAGCAGCATCTTTATCACCACTACTAGAAGAAGAAGAAGAAGAAGAAGAGCCTTCGCTATTATTGGTATTTGGGTTATTCGGTTTGGAGGTGTGAAGTGGATTGGAGCCTTTGATGACCCAACCGAGAGCGAAAAATGACAAACCCGCGAGTATAGCGGTGCCCCAAGCGTGAGAGTACCACTTACTGTACTGCCTTACAGCGAATCGCCATTGATCTCTCAGCGTTGCAGCATCCGGGTTCACCGTTTCACGTGGGTTCGGATTGTGGGTTCCACCGGAGTA